ACAGCTCTGTTCTAAAAGCTCCTCTAGAACCTCTGAAGATAATTTCAGAAAGTGAAGAAAATTATGTACAACTGTGAAAATCCTCTTTTGAGACTGTTAAACAACATTAGAGTGTCTTTACTCAGAGGCTTCTCCAGATCTGGTGCAATACATACAGCTACAGAAGATGCTTAATGCTAACAGCTATCAATACTTACAACACCTGTTTAAAAAATAATATATGAGTTACTGCAACATTCAATATACCTTCAGGATTTATAAAGTATTTTAGAATTTTGAATTGGTTGAATACTGTCTTCCTTCTGGAAACAACTAAAATGATTTTACCCCAAACTCTTCACCAATTAAATATTCTATAATTTTTGTTTGCATTACCTTAGTTTTCTGATCAATATATTTCCCACTGGGATTAATTGGCTTTAGGTGGATTTAAGAGCTTTTATTGTGTTTATCTATTACTTTTGTGTTCCTAAAAGCAACTTAGTCATCTGAGAATGTTCTCGCAGTACATCCGGGTGGTTCATGCTTTAGGTCCAGTGGCAGTCTTTAAATGCTTTATTATTTCCCAAGCTAAGACCAATGGAGCAATGCTATATGGAAGGTATTGTTCCTTTAAGTTTATATAGGAATCAAAAGAATTCAAATGTTGTGTTTTGAGATGATTAAAAACACACTGAGTGGGAAGAACGAGAAAATGTCCATATGGATGAATGTCAGTGTCTTTTATTAGCTCTCTGCTGAACTGTCAAGTTGTCAAAATCATCTCCAAATCCACCATCCCTACCACTTCCAAAAAAGGATTAGACAGGAGGAGAAAATGCAATATTGAATCTGCTGTCTCAGACATCAAACCTAAAGATTGTGCTTTTGGAACATGCTTTACTCTCGCTGTTTGACGAGCCAGTAATTGAAAAGCCCTTCAAAACGAATTACCATGATTGCTTAGTTTTTCCAGGATATTGACAGTGGGTTTTTGAGTTTTTTTTTTTTTTTTTTTACAGGCAGCTGTGGGTTGATGTGCTGCTTATTTTTAAGACAACAGACAAGCACAATTCACAATTTACCACACTGAAGAATAAGCTTCCCAAGCTAGTGAATTAAGGAAGTAATAAAGGCAACAAGGCCTGCAGCTGAAATTACAGATAGTGCTTTACAACAGCTTCTAAAGAGAGGAGATGGTGAAAAAAAAAATGCTGTTTGCACATCATCTTAAGAAAAGTGCAATTATCTTTGAACCAATCAACACATGGCTTTCGCTTCATGTGCCTGACCTTGCTGGACTGGTAACCATGGAAATGTGTCTCTCTGTGGCAGAGCACAGCTTTGTTACACAGAGACCTTAATGTGTGTGTGGAGATGATGAACGGCACACACACACAGCCAGTTTTTCATGTCTTTCTCTCACCGGGGCTCCCTAGAAATAGTCTCATCCTGCCCTTTATGACTTCTCATACTGTGTCCAAATAACAAATATGTGGGGGTGATGAAGCAGTGCCTTCTTATGCACAAACATACCAAACCACCAGCTGACTTACTCTGCCTCGCAGCGACTGTACTTCCATGTGCCGATTGTGAAAATATGTGGGACTGGTGGCTTTTGGTTCCCTTTCATTTGGGAACTGTTGTGACAGACTCCATAAATAATGCATGTTGTGGATATATTTACAGAGCACATATTAGCATATACAGTCATGAAAAAAAAAATCAGGACACCTCCCAACAGCTTGTGTGTTCTTCTAACATATTTTGACATATGGATATGTAATATATCTTTTAACAATGTGATGATAAAAAAAAAATAAACAGCAAAAAAATTAAAGAATTTAAAAAGTTATCAAAAAGAATTACTGGTTAGGAATAATTTAGCAATGCCTCACACCTATTGCCACTTGAAATGATGAATATCATGCAGAAACATATGACATTAGGAGATAATGGTAAAAACATTAATACTGAACTTTTTAAGGAGGGTTGTCTAGCTTGAACCTTCAATATTCAGCTGGGTGAGTGAAAATTAAGAGAGAAAAGCATGGTGACATTACCAGAGCTGCTGGAAAAGAAAGGCTGACGTGTGGTAACATATTTTAAGAGGTCGAAGAGGAATTTGGAATTAATCATCCCACCTTACAGAAAAAGAGGTCTCCTTTAAGAGGAAATTCAAATTAACTACAAAAAGTCACACATCTGTCCTTCCATCCAGGTCATCTCTGAAAGCAGACTGCAAAACCCTAAAATAATTCTCCCAAAAAAACCCAAAAAACTTTAAATGTAATACTGTAGAGAAAGAAACAGGCTCGGATTTAGACTTGGGATCTTTATTTTGGACATTGACTATCCTAAACATTCGTATGAGCGTGTGCTGATATGGTGCAGCCCAAAAGTATGATGGTCTATGGTAATAAACCACAAACTCAACGCTATTCCTGACATTTTGAATTGAAAAAAGCAAAATGTTTTCAAACTTGCAAAAAAAGTCCAGTGAATGTTTTTTTTTACATTTTTGGAATCAGCCCAAAAGTATTTTTGGAACTTTTTTAGCTATGTAACAGCACTATTGAACGAATATGTTATTAGATTAAACTCTTTTCTGCAAGTTAAGCACAGTACCCCAATATGATAACGTGAATAAATGTACATAAGTATTCACAGCCTTGGCCATAAAGCTTAAAACCAAACTGAGGTGCAATCTTTCCGTTGATTATCTCTGATATGTTTCTACAGCTTAATTTACGTCCCCCTACGGTAAATTCAGTTCATTGGACATAATAAGAAAATGTTCACACCGACCTGTAAAATTCTTCACAGATTAGGGTGTAGATCAGAATGATAACAACAAAAAATGAGTCAAAGGAAATGTTTGTAGACCTTTGAGACAGGATTATTTTCTGGAAGAAATCTGTGGAAGGACATAAAAGCGTTTCTGCTGCTTTGAAGGTCCCAAAGAGAACATTGGCCTCCATCATTATTATATAGAAGTAGTTTGGAACCATCAAAACGTTTCCCAGAGCAGGTGGGCTGACTAAACTGAGAGATCAGGAGAAAAGGACCTTAGTCAGGGGGCGACAAAAGGACCCCATGGTCACAGCTACAGCTTTGACCATAAGGTTGTAGCAAACAACCAATCAAGCCTGTGGTGTAGAGTCACCGGGAAAAAAGAACACAACTTAAAAAAGGCCCACGGCAGCCAAGCTGCAGTTTACCAAAACATACCTAAATTACTTCCAGACAAGAAGAAACAAAATTATCTAGTCTGCTGAAAAAAAAGGCTATAGACTGTGGTGTGAATCCATGGCATCAAGTTTTGACGAAGTCAGGCGTCATCCATTACCAGAATATTAATGTCCTTACACTGAAGCATGGTGGTGGCAGCATCATGCAAGAGCTGCAACAGCTGCAGGAGCTGATAGATAAAAAAAATATGGATGCCATGAGAGAACAAAGATGCCGGGGTGAAAACCTCCTTCAGAAAACTCTTAACCTCAGTATAGGGAGATGTTCCATTAATCAGCAGGATGATCACCCAAAGCACGCAGCTAATATCTGGGGAGGGGCTCCAGAACCACTCTGTAAGTGCCCTACACTGGCAATACTAGATTCTAAACTTGAATCAAACTGAACCTCTCTGCTGAGGTCTGAAAACGGCTGTTCACAGATGTCTCCAATCCAAGGTGATAGAGCTTTAGACTCATCAAACAAATACGGGAAGAACTGTCTGACAACTTTTAATAAAGTGGATAACTAAAAGTGGAAAGCATGCAACACTCTCAATCCTTCTACGATTTAGTATTTATGGATGGGATTGATAAATCCAAAGTAGCCATGCTTATAAAGCGGATTAAAAGTGAGGCATTGTTTCCATTATATATAAACGCATCTCAGTACAAGTTAGTAATGAGGTTTGTTTTAGACCCTTTAAAGTAATACCTAAAATAACAATCCTCTAGCTAAGCAGTTAGCTTCAAAAGTCATTATTTAACTGACTGCGTGAAATCAGGAATATTCTACTCTCAACATAAAGCTCTCCTTTGAAGGCCTGAAAAGTTTAAAAGAAAACATTATATAAACAACAGTCCCCATAGAATTAGGTTAGAAAACTAAACCCTAAGCTTTGGAAACTTCCTTACCCACTTTTAGACACAATAGCTTCATGATACCATTGGGATGCATATCTTTTAGGAAGTACAAGGAAGATTGCTTTATAGAGCAGGTTAGGCTGTTGCTTAGTTGGGAGAAGCTGCTGACGCTACAACTATAAGTCCTCTACAACACAAATGTAACCTTTAAGGAATAGGTTTGTGACAAACACCCCCCTTAGTACAGCTTCATATCCCTTACCTCACATTTTTGTCCTTGAAATTTGTTATTGTTTTAGCCCATCCAAAAAGTTCACCCATCTCATTATTGTAGCATTATTATATACCTTTAATTTATTCTGATTAATTGGCTAAAACACTTCATGATATCATGTGCACTTCAGCAGGTAAGAGATTATTATTATGGGGAGAAAAAAAGTCAGAATCCAGTTAACAGTTTCCCACAGGGTAGATGGAGGACTTAGAAAGCCTGTGGATGAAGGTTCTGATGAAACCAAAATGTTAACTTTCCTCGGCTTAATGTAAAATGTAAAATGAATACAAATGACACAAAGAATATAAAGCTGATGAAATACAAAAAATAACTGAAATAACAAATACTAGATTAAAAAAATAGTTTTTAGTAGGCTAATGACTTAAGGTAAATTAATTGATGTGTGCCACTTTTTCATATATATATATATATATATATATATATATATATATTTTTTTTTTTTTTTTTTCCCAGTTGACTGTCTTTTATCATCGTCATGTAAAAAAAAAAAAAAAAAACATAAAAATAATGTTGAGTGGATTTTGAACTTTACAACGCATTCTCATTCTCTAAATATTAATAATATTAATAATGTAGGGAAAATGCTTCTAAACAACGTATTTCTCCTTCCCTCTTCGCGCATGCTCAGTGTCTTTCCTCGGTGGATCTAATCGGCGGCAGCTGGAGATCAAGTGGTTCGACAGCAGATGGATGCCCAGTGAGAAAGGCGATCCGCTCCGGTTAGGAGAGGTAAGACCGACCCCTAACCGCACCTACAGTCTGTCAGTCTGTTAGAAGAAAGATTCGGTGAAACACTTTGACTGAAATGCGGTGATGGAGGGAGAGGAGCTGCGGTGACTCACTGGGATCCAGTGGCAGCGGTTAGCTGGAGTGAGCAGAGAGTTAAAGTGACCACAGCACAGTGTGTTCCTGCCTGTTCGGAGAGAATATGAATGTCTCAACCGCTAACCAACACTGTGCATTAGTCATGAGACATAACTGCCAAATTCCATCTGTTTGATCAGAATCATTTCAGGAGCAATTTAGCTTTGTTATGTCTACAGAATTAAACTAGTCTCTGAAACAGGAAAGGAGTAAACAGCAGTGTTCAGCACCATGGACAGCTCTAGCCGATGCATTTATGAGGCCTACTGTAATTCATGTATTTTCCCATCTTATGGTGCTTTTTTTGTTTATAAGATGTAGCTATTAAGCTAAATTGTTAAAAGAATGTTTGTATGTATTATTGTATCTATGTGTCCTTAATTTACCCTCTTTTTTCAAGAGTTTACTGGACAAGAAAGCAGAATAAAAGATAAAAATCCTATAATTAAGGAAATGTGGGTCGAATTTGGACCAATACTAAAATTACAAAATGGGAGGGGGTGCAATCATATGATTAAACATTAGGGAAAGCAAGTGATTTCTTTTCTCTAGCTGTTCAATTTATTTAAATTTCACCTAAGAAACAAAGTATAATATAATACAATATATAATAACTTTAAATCCATCTGCTAATTATTTAAGGCGGCAGGCAGGAAAATTTAAAAACCCTTTTACCCAGTTTGGCTCTGACCTTTTGGACCTGCATCAATGGTCTAAAAATGCAAAAAAATGCAAGCCATAAACAGTTGAAACCACTCCTTAGTTGTAACAAGCGCTAAAATGTAAAAAAATAAATAATAATAATAAAAAAAAAATAAAACACCTCTCCAAAAACAGCTTGCTCAGAGTTACAAGCTTTAAAGATGTTACTTTGATATAACCTAACGGAATATCTCCAAATGACACAAAACTCATATGGGTGAGTAGAACATGATGCCCAATGTCAAAAAAAAAAAAAAAACATTCCCCTTTAACTTCTCTTTTTTCAGTAGATTGTGTGTTGTTCTAGAATTGAAGCTCTATTGTATCTTTATTCTATGTCACTGCCAAAGAAAGCATCCCCACAGCATTTCACAGCAGGGTAGATTTTTTCAAAGGTGATGTGCTGGTTGGTTTTATGCCACATGGTAATTTTAACTTTAGGCCTAAATATTGAATTAAGGTCTCATTTCTTCCATGTGTGCTATGCCCCCTGCATGGCATGTGACAGGCAGCAAATTACACTTCTGAGGCATTTTTCTTTTCCAACAATGATTTTTCTTCTGTCACTTTTTAAAAAGATCAGATCTGTAGGGTTTGCAGTCTATAGTTCTTTCAGTAAATTTCCCATATGAGTTGTGGATCTCTGCAACTCTTCCATAAAAGTCAGAAACCCCTTAGCTGCTTCTCTGATCAACTGTCTGATAGTATTTAGGTTATAAGTTAGCAGTGGTTACATGCTCTTTCCAATTTCAGATGACAGATATAACTGTGCTGAGGCTTCCAAGCTTGCTTTACTGAGGTATTGCCACATCCATTGTTTTCTTCCACTGAAAGATCTTGCACTTCCTTTTGTTGATCTGTCAAGAAAATATCCAACAAAGTATATCTGTTCGTGTTTGTTTTGCAGGGTTATGCATACTTTTGACTTTAACTTTTTGGTAGGTTAGGTTGACAAACTCATCCTTTCCCCTCAATCTGATCCAGTATGAAAGAAACAATAGAAGCAAAAGTCTTGCTGTGTAAATGACGAAGGTGCCAAAGAACAAGAGGGATTTAATTGTCAATAAACTCATTAATTTAGATCGAGCAGGTGGAAGTTACACACTGAATCATTTGCAAATAAAGATGACAGATTTTCTTTGCAAATAAACAATCTGAGGTCTGGAACTCAGCTTCTGCCAGCTTCAAAATAAACAGAAAGCTCTTTGGAAGGCAACCACTTTTGTTTTCTGACTCTGCTGTCAGTTTCACAGATGTAAACTGTATATTTGGGTAGCTCCTCTTCAGAAAAAAAAAAATCTCTTTATAAATCTAAAAGGTGTGGTGCAGGGTTTTATATGGAACAAGATATGTTTTATTTGACAGTGATATTTGACAAAGTCTCACTTTCAGATCAAATGTTACATACCATATACTTGGTATACTCATTTTTTGATTCATTATCAGCTGTTTACAGCTGATACTTATCAGCTTAGTATCATCTGTTTACTATTAGAAATTATTAATTACATGAATGTTATTGTAAATCACATTTCAGTGGAGCTTTTATCATAAAACCATTAAAAATGTATAGTAAAATCATGAGGATCATAAAAAACATCAAGTACAAAGCAAACCATCAAAGGAAAAGAACAGCACATTTTTAATATGACAAAACATTTAAGTGCTAAGTATCCTGGAAGTGCAAATTCATCCCAACTTTATTCAATTTAAGAAGATAGCCAAAGTGGTGGTAGCATTGTGATGGGGGGTCCTTGTCATCAGCAGGGACAGGGAAGCTGTTATCTGACTGGTGGATGAATGGACTGAAACACATAGCAACTCAGGAAAAACAACTTTTGGAGATTTGGTTGAAAATTCAGGCTCCATAGCAAAGGAATAGTTTAAATCAAGCCGAGTGAATCCATACTTATGGTTTTAACACAACAACATATAGTCCCAATCATTTATTAGTTTTATACAAGGATTTTCTGATTATAGCAAACTAGAGTAAATTATTATGCTGTTAACTCAATCTATTATTAGCATTTAGGTTAAATACTACTAAGTAGGAAATGTGTATTATGGGAAAAATGACCTTATTATGGACTACAGTTTACAGTTTAATACATAATTGGGGGAGTATTGCATAAATTAATTCTATTCTCATAAAAATGTTTTCTTTTAAGTTGAAAATATAACAAAAATGGAGATAAAATTAGCTTAAGTAGAGAAGGTTTCTTTCTTACAAGGCGACCAAGCATTTAAACATTCCTTTACTTTAAAAAAAAAAAACATTCCTCTCTGGTTATCACCATTTCAGGTGTGAAATTACAGACAACTCAATAAAAGGACAAAGTATAGATTTTAATAAAAAGAAATCCTGTAGAGCTTCGAAACTCAGCTTCAAGGTTACTTGTTCAATGAATCAACAGCACTGGTGTATGAATACACTACACAGACTCTTGGATATGTGTGAGTCATCTATGGGAGGAGAGAGAGTGAGCTAAGAACAGCAGAAGCAATGAGACGTTCACATGCAGCAGCTGATGACAAAGATCCCAATTCATGACGTGCTTCTGCTGGGAGGGAGGATTTGATTGATTGAAATAAAAATGCTGCAATTTAATTATTGCTTGATTATCAAGGATAAGATTTTCTTCTGTTGTTATTTGTGTGTGTTTTTGGTGACTTTATACGCTAAACCAGTAGCAATACAGCTTACTGTAGATGCCAGGTGAAGAATGACCTGGTTTTTATAAAAAATAAAAACCTGGACACTGCTGTAGATTTATATTTATTGCTTTGTACTCTGAAACCAAACATTGGCCAAAATACCGAACTGAATGAGCCGAAACTACATCCCCCTGAAGGCACCGTCCCCATCAGAGGGAATATAAAGGTAGATTCTGCTCACATCAAATCCTTGTCTAAGAAAAATTTTGCTTCCAGCATAAAGATCTTGTGAGCAGGAAGAAAAGCCTCTATGACCCTTAACCTTCACCTATCTGAGAATTGTAATTGATTATTTTTGGCAAAGCTGAAACCTCCTCCATCCAGTCTGACTGAGACTTAGATGGAGCTGTTTTGGAAGGAAGAATAGGCACAAATTTCCCTCTTTTGGCATGTAAAGCTGAAATATTCCAGAAAACCTCCATCGCCATAATGCGATTCTGTAAATAAATGCTTTTGGGCTGAATACAGATGCTTGCCAAGGTTCCCAAATAGCTGTAAGTTTCTAAAAATCCCAAGTTTTCCTCATTTTTCTCCTTAGATTAGAGTTTGAGGCTATAGTGTGGGTGTGAATACTTTTATAAGCTACTGCAAACATCTACACCACCTTTCACTGGATTACTTAATGTGCTTGTTTCCTTGCTGCAGGTAAAAGTGGTGAACGATGGCGCTGTGCCCTGAAGGTTGTACTTCCGGCTCAGGAGGGGAGTCCTCTGGGAGCGAGGTGAGCTTTAAACGGACAGATCGATCGATCTACTGAAGGAAAATGGCCTGACCTCATTTCACTACCTTAGGCCAAAGGTTATATATCAGGATAATGAAAAAGAAAAACCAGAACGAAACCAAAATGTTTGAGTTACACTATGAATAAAAACAGAATCCAAGCAGAGGTTTGGTGTAATGTTTTTGACAAAATATTGGTAAATGTAATTCAATTTTGCAACTATCTTTTGTAAATATGGCTTTTAAACTAAATTTCACAACCACAATTATATGCCCTTAAAGCAAACCCAAAAGAGTCAGAGATGGGCATTTTGTTTTTCCCCTGTTATGTGGTAACCTTGAACACGGTGATCTTCCAGGCAGGTTCCAGCTGTCTTCAGTTTGGGGTTCGTTCCTATCTGCACCACTTCTATGAGGAGTGCTCGTCCTCCATGTGGGAGAGGGACCCAGAGAACCGGGGGGTCCGGAGCCAGAAATCAGCCCTTTGGTGGAACTCGGTTGTCTGGAAGGTACATTCACTGAGCTACATTCAAACAAAGATTTCCAACATAGTTTTTTAGGACTGAATTTCCAAAATTAACTCATAGAAATACTTATAGATTTAAATAAGAAGAACATTTAATTTAAAAAATCCAGATATTACAGCATAATTTAGGGAAGGAATGTCTTTTTTTTATACTTCTCTAAACTGAATCCTTCTCAGTTAGTTTAAAAAACAAATAGCCCCTATTTGTTTCCTGCTCATATGAATATACTTCTGCTAATGGTGCTTTGAAGTATTTATATTCTTTCTTTGTTTCATATCAACATTGAAACCATTTAGTTAAATTCATTTTGACCCTTTTTAGATAGAAAACCATCTGAAAACCAGCCGTATTTTTCAAACGAGTAGTGAGCGCATGGTAGAGAAATTATTGCTGGATGCTGGCTGCAAACAACCACATCTGTGACATGTTACCTCCTGCTGGCTGCTATCGCCTGCCAGCTATGAACTTCTCTAACAGATTGTGTTTTCTGCATTGTGCATTTAAACTGTCGCGACACAATGGACTGCAGACACTGAATGAGGCTGTGGTATTTGTAAAGTCGAGGGGAGTCCGTACAGACCTCCTGCATCCCTGGCTTTGTTTTGCCTACTCTAATATGGGTAACCTTTCATAATAAGATGCTGGGAGCACCATGCAGATAACACAACCTATACAAAAAAGACTTACTCTGCAGAAATGACCACTTCAGCTCTTATTGTGTCTTGCTGACTGCAGCTGTCCTTGGCTCTGGGTCTTCTGATGCTGACTGCAGGCATTGTGTCTCTCTCCATCGCTTACTCCACCCCCCATAAAATTGAGTCCTTCGGAGAGGGAGACCTGTACTTTGTGGACCCCCAGGCCATCAGCTACAACAGGGGTCTGCACCTCAGCACAGCGTCTGGGATCGGGCTGTCCTGCCTCGGCTCCGCTCTGGCAGTGATGGGGGTTGTTGTCTGGGTCCTGCCTAAGGCCAACTTAAAAGAACGGCTGTTCCACAGATCGAGGGAAGTGGATCAGAGAGGAGAGCGGGGCTTGAAGTGGAAGGGATTCAAAGATGGAGCAGATGTGATCACAAAGCCACCTGATACGGAGGAGGGGAAGATACCTTTTTCTCTGGCTACAGTGAAAAACGTGCAACCTCCTTCCTAAAAAGAGTCACTGTTGAGCTACAGGTGGTACAAGCGCTCATTCTGGTTTTGGAACATTGTTTACACGTTCTGCTCGTTGGATTTTGTTTGTGACCTAAAAGATCAGAAAAAAAAAAATCTCCTTTCACTTTAACTTCATACATAATATACATTTACATTTCAAGGCTGTCAAAATATCGTGTCCCATCAATATGGTTATGAAATATTCAAAATGACCATGTTTTACAATTAAATCATACTCGCTCATTTAGATGTGTTTTTTTTATTTTGCGCATTTTTTAGTTTGTAAATTTTTAAGACTGAAAAATGTGTTTCCTAAGATTCTCCTTAAGAAAATCTTTTGGGTTCAAAGGGGATTAAAAAAAATACTTTCAGCCAAAAGGGATTAATTTAAGAGCCCTAGAGAACAAATAGAGCCATGTTAAGAGTTTTGATCATTAGAAATAATTCAGTTTCTAAATGTTTTACACAAACACCTTTTAATATTTATGTAAAACAGTCTTGCAGTGTTGAATAAAGACACAATAAAGCTGTTAACTCCTGGATTCAGAGGTCTCCATGTAATATCTAAAATCTCCAGCTTGGAGACTTATTTAAAAATAACCTGTAGGCATTCATTTAAAAGTTACATGTTGCAACCTTAGTCTGCCGATAATTCAAAGGCTGAATAACGAATCATCCTAAAAAAAATCAAATTTAAAGCTCTATAAACGTACACTTATTCAGGAAAGTGGTTTAATTTCTGGTCCACGTCTGACCAGCATTGTTGCAACGATGCCGACTTTCCTTTCACCATACAACTGTGTGATCAGAATAGCTTTTGTAGCAGCTTACAAGCCTCCAAAGGGCATATTCAGGTGTTTTTAATTGTCCTTTTCCATCCAAATGATCATAATCACCATGAAAATGAATAAAACAAACATTAGCAAACAAAGAAATGAGCTCATAACATAAAACAAGAAACGTACCTCGTACATTTGATCAACACAGTGTTGAATAAAACAGGCAAATATCTATAACTATCTGCATAATTGTGAAGTCATTTTAAATAACTGAAATATGAATTGAATAATTTACAGCCTTCTTTATAAAAACAAACTATTGTGTAAATCATGGAGACATTAAACAGAAACAGTCTCACTTTTCTCCACATAAGTTTGGGTTTTACACCTGAGGCTGTAGACTCACTTCCATACGTATCCAGCTGTTACAAGCTGTGTTGTATTTCATGCCATACCCCATTAGCCAAAATTAAAATGGTTTTAATAACCTGTATTTTAAAAAAAGGGTTTTAAGTTGAGAAATAGTTTTTGCTGAGTGATAAAAAGTCCAACATCTTCAGCTGCTGTCAGAAATAGTATTGCATTATTTTTGGGCCAGTAGATAAGCAGCTTTGGATCCATTTAACATAATATAAGAGAAAGGTCTTTTTGTCAAACAAAGACAATATGCCAGACAAGATGCCATCACTCATATATGCGAGTGCATCGCTGCTTTCGATAAATACTCTGAAGATTCTTGTGACTTTTATGTAACTCTAATATACAATATTTGTAACTCCAAATGCTCCCACTTGAACAGGTGAGATATGCCTATCTCCCTTCAACACATAAAAAGGATCACGCAGTTAACAGACTGGCTAAACTGATCACAGGAAAGGTGCTTCATTTTTATCTTCTTGCACTCTATCTCTCAAGATGCTAATTAGAAAATGTTAACAGGTCCATAGTACGAAAACTTTAAGTTATGGTGGAATATTTTTAGCACCTAGGAAATCCGCCCGCAGACTGCTGTTGAAGGTAGCTATGGTAACCATGAGAATCCCACTAATTGGTCATAAAATAGGTGGTGCAGTTTCAATCTTTCATCCCTGTAATTGTCTTGTCTTGAAAATATCATCCTAATTGATTGTGTAGTTGTTTGCAGCACGGCAGATGTCTGAATGTATTGAAAAGATACTGAAAAACAACTTTCCATTTTACCCACAAGTTAAAAGAGGTATTTTTTTATGTTTATGGAGTTTTTTTTTTATTATTATTTAAAATCACTTGTAGATTACAGCTAGGTCACACGGGAAATCTTAAGTGATGTACAAAAATGTGTTTTAAGCATCTCATAAACAAATCCCTTATTGTTGATACAAGATCTCAATAAGGGATAAGCCTCAATAAATCATAGTCATTTTCTATCAAATTTCCCAACAAAAGTGAACAAAATCAATTCCTGATTTAAAAAAAGGACTCTTGAGGTAGAATTGTCTTGAACAAGCTTTAACTTAATGTACTATTGCCCTTAATAACCTTCTTAAACTGTCACTGTATGAAGATTTGGTGTATTAGTTTCCCCATAACTCTTAAAGTCATCCTGCAAGATTTTTATTAACTGGTTCCGAGGTTGAATTGTCTTTGGCTGTTTTTTTTTTTGTTTTTTTCTTGTTTGTTATAAATTTTTTTCTTTGTCTGAGGAGTTTGGTTGTTAAATGGTATTAGTTAAATTAAGTTAAGTTAATAGTTAATACAAATACTCTGATTTACAGAGGATTAAGCCCATGACGTTAAGGGGCCCTGTAGCAGTGGCTAAAATGACCCCATATCATTAACCCTGTCCCATTGTGCTTTACAGTTACTGCATGTGAATTTTCTAAAGCATAAAATGTCTAACCCTAATATCTGTTTTTTTTTTTTGTTGTTTTTGCTTTTTGGAACACATCTTTATCTGAGTAGAATAAATTATGTAAACTCTCTACACTGCTAAGCATCTTATGATGCCGTTTTTGCTAAATTACTAATAATGTTTTCAATTATGATATTTAGCTTATTTGAGGATTTCCAATTATTTCATTATCTGACAAAGACCATTTTTATATATTTTTTTCTATCTATTGTTTGGCATGAAATCAAAGATTTAACCCTCTTGGATTCTGATCTTTTGGACATTTGATTTTTTTTGTGCGTATTAAAACGTGTGATACCTCGTTTGCGCACACAAAACTGATATTCATACAAGGCTCAAAGCGATTTGCATGTCTATTTCATTGCGGACTCAAAGGACGCATGATATTGGTGTGGTTAAGGGAAAAGTCTGATTATGAGATTATAAACCGATGCAGCGGGAAGCTGTGTGCAATTTTCCAAAATGATTGGAATACACTAAGCCTGAATATAATAACTAAGAACTATTAATTAATGCATATTGTATTCATATAAATACAAATATTATACAATTTATGTACATACGTATATATATATATATATATATATATATATATATATATATATATATAAAAACAGTATATTAACAACCAGCAGAGAACAATCACAGTCTGTAAGGGGACATCAAGGTTAAAGCTATATTTAATTTTTGATACATTTACCGTTTTATTGTTTTTTTTTTGTAGAACTTTGAGATGCATGTGTAAAATGTGTTATGAATAATATTTATTTTTATTTTTAGCATTTACTTTTTTTTAATGCAATTATTACCTCCATGTTGTAGAAGTTGATCTTTCTTTTATGTCCACTCTCAAACTGCCAGTAGCACTTGTAATGCTCCTTTTTATGAAGCGGAACTAAACCAGTTTGCATGTCTTATCATTTGCACTAGTAATCTTTATAGATCACCTGCAGCACACCTACCTATTGAATGTGCATTTATTTATTTTGTTTCCTATATAATTTAGCCCTACTTATTTTGAATCTTTGAAAATCAGGCCCTTAGGTTGTATTGACTTTCTTTGATGAAAATTTCAACATTTTCCTTTTTCAATTTTGTAAAATATCCGAGTATTTCCTTTTAAACACTAAAAGGAGGGGAGTTAAATCCTTATCAGCCTGTTTTCTACCAAACACTCAAACACATACAGTTACATGCAGGGAGGTTCTAAATGAAAATATTAACAAACCTGTTTAAACATTTTCACATATCGACACTAATGCTAAGATTACTGTATGAAACACATCTATAGTGACCCCCATTCTGTCGCTCACCCACAGCCACAGCAATTTGTACTCCTTTGACAGTATCACCTATTTTCCCCCACTGTAATCTGTTGCTGTAATTGCCTGTAATCTATGTATCTAGGCAACAGTTGGGCTTTAAGTGCTCTATTTTGAACTTAGAAAAAAAAGAGTCCCTCCTGATTGGTCCATCACTTCCCCCTCTCTTTATTATCACACCTATGAAATGTGTTGTTTTGAGCTATAAACGTTAGTGGAGCAGAGGTAAAAGGAAATTGCTTAAACAGAGAGGCCACCTGTCCAGCTGGGTCCTCATATTCAATGGGTTGAAGGTGTTTAAAAGTGTAAATAGTAGAGCAGTCAAAATGTCTGGATGAGCTGCAGTTTTTCAGCTGGATGTGATGGTGTTTCATTCTTTGCTGTTTTTTTTTTTTGTTTGTTTTTTTTCTTTCTTTCTGGAGATAAAGTGGGATTAGCAACAGCCGTGTAAAGCAAAGGACCAAAAATAAAAAGATCTGCATACTCATATTCCCTGTGTTCTGATCCTGATTAGTTAAAAACAACAATATAATTGAAATAGATGTGCAAAGACTTCCAGAAATACAGTACATCCTACTACCACCCTACCCTCCCTGACCACTTAGATGAGATTTTGTTTTATTTTCAGCCATATTAGAACTACAGCTTCTTGTATAGAAGAAATGTGAGACGAAAACACAAAGTACAGCAGAATTTTGAAATGGATGAAAACAGGAACAAAAGAACCTGAGACAAGTTATGGATACATTTATGCAGACATTTAAAGCAGGTTTAGGTTATGATATTTAATATACAGTAACAAGCTTTGACAAGCTTTGACTAGTTTACAGTTCAGTTTATTGTCTGAGATGGAATCGGTGCCCCAACTGCAAGACTTGGAGTTGATCTTTTCGTAAACAAACAGGACAAGCAGACCATGGTAACTCTGGACCAGTAGCAGAGATTTATGGCACAGATGGAAGGATCTGCTTATAGGACAAATGTTACTTATAGATAATTCTGGCTTTTATAAAGACAGTTTAGGAAAACCGTTGGTGAGAAAAGCTTTAGCTCCAGCCAGTCGAGAACAAAAGGTACGTTTTTGGCCTACGTACATTGGCCTTTCCTTGCTGTAGCATAATGGTGGCAGCATAGTGATAAGGGGTTTATTTTTCAGTGGTCCTTCACCTGGTCAGGTATCTGTATAAAACATACAGAACTGAACAAACCAAAAATTGAACAATGAATATAATGCGGGTATCATGCAATTACAGCATGAATTTAACTTATTTATATTTTCTTATTTATTAACTCTACATCTTAAAGAAAGTAAATTGATTCAAGAATATCCAGATGACAGCAATTT